CTTGGGACCGAGGCTTCATCCGTTCAAATAGATGTCTAAGTAAGTCGACTATCCGCTGAAATATGTATGATGCGAGGGAGGTTCCTAGGTATTGATGAACATTGGGGAAGCCCCAGACTAGGTTCTCTACATGGTTCTCCTTCGTCTGGACATTTTCTTCAGGAGCAACACGGAAGGACTGAGAAGCTTGAAGAAGCTCATGGAATTCGGGTTGTAATCGCCTGCAAGAGAAGGTGAAAATTTTCATTCAACAATTGACTTATCTTGTCCCCCTCAACGGCCCTCACTGTCAAACTCTCTTCATTACTTCGATTCTTGTTGTTCATCATTTCTTACTCCTATTTCGTCCCTTGGGCCTTACAAGGCAACTTCAAGGCAACTTGATTACAAGACGTTTTCAAGATTGACAATCGGTCGAGATTCTAACAGAGTTCTACTGCCATTGCATAAGACGAACGACTAATTGACAGAGCCGTGTCCTGGCCGCATACTTCATCGGAATTTTTCCCCTCTAACGACGCCGGATGACGCTTCCACCTCTATGGTGCCTAAACGCATTTAATCTCAATGAATGCACTGCAGTTGCAATGAACTCACTTAGTCGCGCCCATACTTCATTGAATGGAACACCCCCCTTTCGAGGGACCGTAGCACTTGACATTCTGAATGAAATAACACCAGAGGCAAAATGATATGCCCTCCAATGTTAGGAGCGGGACTAGAAAATGCATACATTTCAACCGTAACAGTTCCTCCCTCCTTATCAAATTTAAAGGAACGCTAGTACCAGCGGCAGCTTCCAGTTTGTATAAAATGAGGTCGAACTTTGAGAGCTGAAGCCTCATCAGCCATGGCTCCCTCATTCACCTCCAGATTGTTTACCGCTGCAGCCATCTTATACAGCGCTTTTCATGCATCCGCTGCTCCCAGTACCCGGCAGGTTCTCGAAACCAGTCATGGAATCCTCTCTGCACCCTCCAGCGGGGTCGTAGTTTCCCAAGGCTCATCGTTCCCTTTCGAATTCCAAGATTCCAACTGGTGTGAAGACGGATACAGCTCCATCTCAGTCTGGCTCACTAATTACGCTCCGACATATTTGAACGTCAACTCGACTGGTCAATTTTCCGAAGGCGAATATAGTTATTATTTCGGGTCGTACTTGATACCGAATTTCGGTCAATATTTTCCGTCGGACTTGGGAATAGTACCTGTGCTTATTGATGACATTATAGGATTACCTGTTCTCTCGGGAAGTACGCCCCCTCCATCGAGCCTTCCACTCCCAGAATCATTGAATCTCTCTGCTGGAGATGAGGTTTACCTTGCCGTTGTCGAGACGGGCACCAGTTGCCCGCCGGTATGTCTAACTCCTTAATACGCGTACCAATTATATTCAGCTGAATATTTTACTAAATCCGACAGGGTCTCCACATTCCCCCTCAATACGAGCTGACAGAAACCTCTATTATAGTTGGATAGACAGTCATCCGTAACCTCAAGGAACACTGTATCGCTAGAGTTAAATAGAAGGGGACTACATTGTCAGGGATAAATAATCTTGTTGTAAAGTCTTCCCGCAAAGGCATGAGAACAGTGGCAATAACATAGTACAAATAGATACACGAAACTCGGTCAAACCTAGTTGATATAAAGCTCTGTCGGTTTTGCTTCCTCCACTAATCGCATGATGCTCTTCAGCCATTTCAGAAGGTGGGCTGCCCATCGCACGTTCCTGCCCTCTCTTATGAGTATTGAAAGCCATCTCCCCATACGTCTTCTGCTTCAAGTTATTCTTATTCTCCTGATTGTATTGTTTCGGAAGGTAAGCTGACCAATGGCATAGAGTAACGGTAGCAGCTACCATAACGAGGCTCGATCAATAATGCTTACATCTGAAAGGATCAAGCAAATAGCGACTCACCACAACCCAGATGTAAACATAATACGCACCCGCCATGAGCGGACCTCGTCCGATCTCAGGCCACTCGGTTTTATATCCCGTACGGACTTGATATAGCGCCGCTCTTACAATGAACAGACCAAGTAAAGCATGTATGTAGTTCTGCGGGGGCCGACCGAGGATATTTGTAAACTTCACCCCGTGGATGAAGCTCCTAGCAAACATTGGAAGAAATAGAGGATAAACAAGGCAACTCCCCATTTTTACTTGCAGTGGTGAAGATTGATATGGATGACGATAGAGAAGAGAGAAATTTATACAAAGCGACTCGACCTTTCGGGAATCATTGGTCGGACTCGTACTTCCAGCGTCGAAGTACAATCAAAAACGGTATTCCCGACACGCGTACTGTACATTATCAGTCCTGTATCGAGGCAAACTGTTTAGATGCACAAAGGGTACACGCTCTATACCAGACTTTATGTGATTGAATATCATCAGGAAAACCACCCTCCGGAAATTTAGCATAAACTTTCCAAAATTACCCAAAATAATGTAAATTACCCAGAATATGCTAATTTGGGTGAATACGCTAATTAGCCAGGCCCCCCTCCCCAATTACCATAATTTTGACTAATTCCCGGAGTATTACGGAGACATTAGAGCTAAGTTATAGGAAAATTTCCTGAAAATTTCTTCACATTTTATGTGTTTGTTTTGTAATTTGTCAATCTTTTCCAACCCAAGCATGAAGTAAAATAAATGAAGACGTTTATTCACAATGACTATTCCCTACTACAACTGTATGTACACTACACTATTATTTACAGCCCAAGAAATCAACAAATTAAAACCTCGATGGATTTCTCTACATATATACTCAGTATCTACAATCATTGTGTACAAATCCAAAACTGACACAACTTCGAGACACTCATATACTTATTGAGAGTCACTAGGGAAAGATTACAATGCATTAGGAGGTTGTTTTACATGTGAAGAAAATGGATACAAACCACATCTATAAACCCCCTTGAAAGACTGAAATCCATGACAACAAGAAACTACAGTTAAGCTGGATACATATGAGTTGCAAAAAGTAATAGAGAACTAGCACACACCTTGGGGTCTTAAATCCAGCAACAATTCAATATAAGAGGAAGCATGCCATGACATAAGGTGCAGGAAATTGTGGCTGGAGAATGAGGACACGCATCGTGGGTGAACGAACAAGAGTGAAGGAGGCAGGCAAAATATTGAAATCGAACCATTTATAATTATATTATTCCGTTTAAACTCCGACAGCGCTCAGCAGAGTCAACGCACCAGCGCTTAACACTTAGTTGTTTTTTTGACTTAGTCTTACACCGGCATGCGCATTGGGTCAAGGTATCAATCATTTCAGGTTGCCAAAGACATCATGAGCTGAACCAGGGTAAAGTACAGTAATCACCAGGAGGAACAGTAAGTATAATACCTTGTGTTTAGTATAACTAACTTCGAAGTTTCAAGCAAAATGGAATAACCAAATAACCTGTACTAATTTTCCAATAAGTTTCTGAAAACTTTTTGGAATTTTATTGAGAGCAATTACAAATTTGATAATTCCAGTTAATAAGCCCAATTAGCGAGATTTTGAATAATTACCAAATATTAATGCCAAATTTGCCGGAGGAGGTTTTCCTGATGATGACATACATGTTCTCAGTTGCACAGCTTCTATGGAGTTTGAGCATTGTTATTTCTCCGTCGCTTCCCGGGACGTGGAAGAGATCCCCTTAGCATGGCCTAGATATTACCGGCAGATGCGCTCCCAGAGTGGTTGTAATCATCGATCTAAGTCGTTGGTTTCTGAGGACGGTCTTCCTCCTAACGAGAACAAGGGCTCGAGAGCGCCAAACAATGCATTCGAATAGTGTTTTGCGACTTTCAACTGGGTTTTTCAGAATATAAAATCTTAGCATTCAATGTAATACAAGACCCGTACTAGCCAGCAGCGGGGTACTTATGATTTCCAAGTTTCTATTCCTTTTGCTCTATGGATCACCCATGCATCTACGTGGTCTTATTGCAGGGCTTCCTCGTGATCATGAATCGAATAATCTGTACGCGGGTGAGCCAAAGCAAGAGAAATTATACGAAGGCTCGTACCGTGAACGTGGACCTTGAATATCAGATTTTCATGGATGTATCCTACGCCGAATCCTTCCTGGTATGCGATGATTCTGATAATGATGAGCAGAAGGTTCATGCGCTGTGCCTGAGCCGCTAATGATAGAAAATGGATGATGTTGTTGCGGAACGTCGAGACTTGTACCGATATCTGAACCTCGTGCAGCTGCAGTTGTACAGAACGCTAGGAGAAGTAGTAGTAATATGACGTGAAATAGCAGGGGAAATATGGATAGCATCTGGAGATAACAAATGAATGAGAGGAGGTGAGTCACCCAAGAGGAATTGACGCACCGGCGTAACAGGACAAGAAGATATTTGAAGCGCGAAGAGTCGATTCAGGCAACGTCTTATATCCTGGATTATATTATTAACACACGAAAAACATGAGGCTAAAACCAGCGATGGAGAATACGTACGCGTAAGTCCATCATGCTTGAGTACTCAGGTTCGTGAAGTTCGGAAACGGACCCGGAATCTACTCGCCACTGCGCTTTTCTATCTTCTCGCTACCTCAGCCTCTTGGCTGTCTCCGTCATCGGTCCGTGACCCCTCTCTCTCCATCTAACTCGAATAATTTTCGCATGACACCATTCAACACCTCCGCTTGCTTATACGGTGGTTGAACTTCGAAGCTTGAAAGGACAAAGACGAAGAACAGCTAAATCCCGGAGAATTGAAGGTCCCAAAGAGCCTGCATGATACAGTTTTCTTTCGTAATAGCTGAGAGGGATATCGCGAATGCCGGAACCCGAGGTTGAACATAGCTAAAAAACGGAGTACGAAAAATACGGCCTATCTTGGATAAGCAATTATACAGTGAGTGCAACTCAAGTCAAAACTGAGACTGGCGTGGGATTGTTCAGACTGGAAGAAAGATGATGAGAGAGAGGCGAGATGAGTCACCAACAAGAACGCAAAAACAGATTGGACAAATCCGGATTTGAACCGGAGACGTTTCGCATTCCCAGATGCAAAGCGAACGTGATAACCCCTACACCATATGCCCATGTTGGGAACTTACTCAAGTTAATCTTAGCACATGGGTATATAAGAACTTTTCAAGTTCCCTTCAATCTCGTCTCCAGAAGTTCAATCATGCAACCTTATCTCGGTCATTCATCCTTCCCACATTCTCCTCAGGCTGTTGTACCGTTTGAACTAACACCTCCTTAACGGAACTCGCGCGTTAAAGAGAAGAATAGAGGCAGTAGAAGAAGAAGCGAATAACAGCAAATAACAAAATCAGGTGGCAGCATCCAATAAATAAGTAACCGCCAACGTATGCGGTGGGAGGCTTGACGTCAAAAGAGCTATTCAATTACCCTGGTATCTTTGTTGTAGTCTAAGTTACGGAGCAGCGGCTACTTATATGGACGTGTCGAGTACAAACCTCGGTGGGTGAGTATTTCCGACTCCCGACTTCTGTCCAGCGTGCTGAAAACTTCGCAGCTGATGACTGCGCTACTTCCTGCGTTTGATGCAGAGACAGTAATGGATGCAGGAAATTTGTAGTAATACGAAATGGCGACAATCCTTATGCGGAGGGTAATGAATGTTGTACCTTCCTTAATGATGAATCCCGAAAAGTTTGGCGATACGCGATTCTTCAGGTTAACAGGATCGCATATTGTACGTAGTGATGTGTCGAATTTTCTACTCGTTGTACTACTTAACTATCCTGTTCCGAGTACGTCCACCACAATCTTACCATTCGGTACTAATTGGTTACCTTAGGAATTGGAAATCTACTGCTATTTTTGAGCAAGAGACTGATGGTCTCTCTCTGAAACCCGATGTACAAGTCAGCAGATATCCATGGGCGAGCCTCTATCGAACACGGTCCACATACATTCTGTGGAGCTCTTGCAACGATTTCGCGTTGACTTGCTTCGATTTGGTTATTACAACTTGACGCTGTTGCGTGCAAAGCGGCGTTGGGTGGCTTGGTATGCTGGTAATCATCATGTCTGTCATCCACCACTCATGCTTTTCTTTTCAATGATTTGTCTTTCTGGGGAACACCTCAAGGGAAGAGCAGAATTACCATCAAGTCTTACTCATCTCTTTGGTCCTTGGTGACCAAGGATTTTTGGCATCTGAGCTCCTCTCTACCTGCAAAGCTTTGAAAGACCCCGTGGTCAGTGAAATTGATTCTTATTCCCTGGATTAGCTAGCTCACTGCTACCACAGGGCTCATCCATAGGCGCAGAATTCCATCGCTGCACTGTCACGGGAGCTGTAGGACGTCCATAACTTCCGAAATCCACACCTCATGTCAAAACTGCCATTGGCAATGGAAGAACGACAATAATTAACATCTCTTCCTTGATATAATTCTGAATTTTGCCCATTGGGAGAAATACCGGAATATCTAGATTTAATTTCCGAGCACAAGGGACATTCATTCCTTTAAAATATTGGAACACGTATGGAATTCCCTATGACCTCTAGATTCTGGTATTAGAACAGAATCGACAGCCAATGCATGATGACAGCGAGAAGGCAGGTCCCGGACACGGGATGGTCGGAATACTCTTAGGACAACGGGTGTCGGTTTCGGTTTTCCAAGAAACTGTACCTTGAGAAAAGGGTCTCCATGCTTGCCATGGGCCTTTCAAGTCCTTCAATGGCACATATGTGAGTCGGAGAGCACTTTCTATTCTAGATGGATGGTCCCTAAGTGTAGAGGAGAGCCCAAAATCAGAAATGTGTGTATGTCTTGATCAGCGCCTATCTCGAAGAAAAATTAGCGCTACCGACTCCTAAAGAACAACAAAGTGCTTCAAATCATCTATTCTTCAGATCATTGATTTTTGGCACCTGCCAGCTTGATGTCAGTATGAATTGTTAGGTTGCCTCAAGAATTCGGAATGTCGATGAACACAAAGAAGGAATGTATGCGGTGCATTGCCATTCAAGTTCTATTTTTTAAATCACACATAGAGACAGATAGCTAAATTCTACCTTCGTCATTTGAGAAGTTTGTATCTGGCATAAATATTATCAGCTCCTCAGGCTATTGCTACTCACAAAATCAGATTTCCCTTGTTAAATCAGCACTCATCATGTCAAGGAATATGTAACCGATCTTAGTTCAACAAAAGTTCTATGTGTGAATTCAGTGTCAGCCAAAAGACCACATTCGAAAGCTCAAATTCATTAAACGTGTTCAAAGGAAGCCTGCTATGCCTTTTGCTGATTAAATACTAGGAACCACAGAACACACTTTCCAACTTTGTCATTTTTGCATAGTAACATATCCTCAAATCCTGTCGGGATTGAGTTGCGAAACGAAATGGTCTTTTCAACCCCGAGCCTTGGTATAGGTAGAAGATCCTCAGTCAACCATCTTGATCTTGTTCCCGAAAGCCGGTGAAGATGCTTCACCATATGCATGATACACGAAGAACTCGAAATATCGGACCCTTTTTAATTCCGGTACGAAAGTTATTTAAGGGTGGTGAGTTCCCTTAGAGTCGACATCCTACTCCCCATGATCATGGCCATCGAAGAAGACAATCATGAGATCGACACCAACATCATGGAACAGGTATTATTGCGAATCCACTCGCCAAGTTCATTTGAAAGCTAACTTTGAAATCAGTGCAAGAAAGCCGTCCTTGACACCCTGGGTGTTTTAGACATTGATCCCCTCGCTATTATTCCATTCGAGGAAAATCCTACTTTCAATCCGTTCGTTGCTAGGTGTATTGAAGCAGCTCATCAACGCAACTATATCAGCAATACTTTCCAAGACAAACACGTCATTATTGGCGCCGCAGCTGCACACCATGCATACCTTTTCCATGAAGGAACAGAGAGTCACAACGTCCCTGTGCTTTCTTCATTGTTGATGGCTTTTATTTACTTTATCGACGATAACGGATTTCAACAACAGTCAATTGCAGAGTATGGATCCCGCCTGGCTTCTGGACGCCCTCAGCTCGAAAAAGGGCTCGACGACATCGTAGCTGCTACTGCAGAACTAGCAGACATGTACCCGCCTATTACAGGTGATTTTTTGCGCTTGACAATCCAGTCTTATGTCACGAGCAATCAGCTTGAGCGAGAACTCGAAGGGAGTGGAAAACAATCTAAGGTCAGTGAGCTCAGCCCGATATGATTGATTCCAACAACAGACCTGACGATTGATTTTCTTCAGTGGGAGGTGAACAAAGATGCCCCGTTCTTTCCTACCATCATGAAAACTTTTACATCCTGCGCAACACTGGCCTTATTACTCTCATTCCCCTGCAACATACCTGCCACGAGTTACATTCAGGCCCTCGTTGATGGAGTCTGGGTTCACGATATTACATCGTACGCATTCTTACCCCTTAAAAATGTCTATCATCATTGACCCCTTCTTGTGCTTTTTAGAGATATTATGTCGTACTACAAAGAGGCAATCAACGGCGAATTCACCAGAATAGAGCAAGTGGCGCAGATGCAAGGCTCGCGAGGATCAGATGTACTCGAAGACCTAGTCAAGACAATGGCACAGAGTCACCGACGAGTAGTCCACGTACTTGCTGCATCCGATCCATCAGGAAATCTAGTGTCGTGCTATACTCGTGCGCTTGAAGGTTTCGTGGTCTTCCAAGCATTATATCCTCGCTACAGGATTGCAGAGTTCGGTATATTTAGTTTCTGACCAGTGAATTAGCAATCGAGTAATAGAGTAGAGTCTGGAATGTAAAGAAGTAATCATCCGCAATGTGATACAAGAAAAATGGCAGTTTGAAAGTCGAGATATCGAGATGCAACAAACTTGAGTCTTCGAACGGACACGTGATGCGGTACTCCCCACTCTTGCTAGTACCGCATCGACACGAGTACGTCGAAGCCTCACAAGTACTAGACCCTAGTAGCTTTTTAGTTCTTCTTTCTACACCTTCCTACCCTATTCTGTCACCTACCTCCCTCACCTCTCACCTCTCACAGAGACAAGAGCTCAGGCAGAGGTAAGTGACACATGCAGTCCGAGCTCAATGAAAGCACGCAACTGCTGGTCGGCCCTCCCGCCCATCGCAGCTGACCGTGCATACCTCCCTAGAGTTTCATTGTTTGCTGGGACCCGAAGGCCTTCGGCCTCCTCCCAATGTGCAGAACACTCAGCTAAAAGAAATACATTGCCAGATAGACATCTTGTATATATTCACCACGATGTCCTACCAAAATACTTAATGCATCGCTAGAGTTCCAAGACAAGATTCGACCGGTGCTGATGAGAGAGGCGTATGACGTTCTTCAAATTCGGCATGAGCCAATTACATAAGATAAAGCAATATCAATCTTTTCCCTCTTCTAATGTCACTTCGAGGTCTGCTAGCTGTTCCACTACTACAAGGTCCGCCCTATAAAGTTTTCTTCAACTTCTTCCGAGACAAATGCTGTTTCCGCGTGTTGAACGCGGCTATGCTGTTCACACGTCACTGATACGGTCATGTGTTATCCTAGTCTATGCTTAGTGTACACTGACATCATATACCATATGCGGATTCCTCAGTACTTCCTTATGTAATACTGTCATACATTTATGTATATAAGTAGCTATGTCCTGTACTGGAATCCAACTCGCTTCTCTCTTACTTTTATTGCCTCACTGAGACACTAAGCTCTACTACCAGGTATGGTGCTGGAGAGTGTTCCCACTATGCACCCCTTGCCTGCTCAACACCGCGAACTCCAACTTAGGATACGCGTGAGTCCTTTGTGCACAGAATGGTCTCACTCCATGTACAGCTCGAGCGCTAAGTTTCCGTATAGGGCACATGCCTTCTTTCAGACCGTCTTACTAATGGGTATTACGATGTCGGATGGGCGGAAGGAAGCAAGGAAGTGAGGAAGATTATGCCTTTGGTATCTGGCTTCACAGCGAAATTGTGCGATTCCGGGACTAAAAGGTCTGGATCGAGAAGTTCCACTGGCTAGTATAAGTACTACAGCTCATATCCCCAATTTACCCAGCTTGCTGTCTCAAGTATGATGAACGCGAATTCCATC